GCCGCTCCTGGTGTGTCATCCATACCACAAGTTGCTGTCATCACAACATGCCGACAGCTTCTTTAAGGACACCTGTCGGCCTGTCATCTTGAAGGATGGAGTTATAGTGTTTTACATCAGTTGGGTACTTCATGGGGTTCGGGCGATGAAAATTAATTTCTCGCCAAAGGCCCTGCTATGGGTGTCAACGAGTCGAGTCGAGTCGAGTCAAGCCACGAGCCAAAACTTGAAACTCGAGCTTGGTTAAAGTAAAAACAGTTCGAGCTTTTTTTAGCCCGGCCGAATTGTGCAAAAGCTCGGCCAAAAAATTTAGGCTCGATCCGAGCTTTTGGCTCGGACCTTAGTGACCCGAGTTGGGCCCGAGCTGAGTCAGCTCTTTTTTTTTTATTTTTTTTAAATTCGTGATAAATCTAAAATTGATATGAAATTCAAATTTTTATCGCATATTTATAGCAAAAAAATGTATTCGTTTCAACCAATTTTTTGAAAAAACAGTAAAAAAAAAAAAAAAATCAACACAGGTAGCTATGATTGCTGCTTGGTCATAGCTGCTTGCAACACACAACTTTATATTTCTATTTTTTGATAATTGTTTTTAGGTTTGAAATCTTTTTTTTAGGGTCGACTGTCATGGATCGAAAATGGCCCGTGTCTCAGGCTGGTTGGGCTTGGGCCGACGCCCCAAAATGGGGCTCGACCTGAGCCTCGATTCAATCCCAATGGGCCACAAGCTAACCCGGCTCGGACTTTTCCCAGGTCGAGCCACGGGCCGCCCGAACCGACAAGCCATATTGCCATCCCTATGCCCTGTAGTTCATTGTAGAACTTTTCCAGTGAACCACCAGCTTGCTTAAGTCTACTTACACGCCGTTGGAGTTCGCCGAATTGGGAGGTATCACTTCAATCAAAAAATGTGGTGGCAATGGCATCCCACACTTGTTTGGTGGTTGGATACCGAATGAAGGGCTGATAAGAGAGGCCTCCATAAAGGTAATTAACCATCCTTTGACTGTTGTCTAAGGGTGGGCAAAATTCAAACCAATTCGAGCAAACCGCCCAGTCCGACCCAAACCAACCAGGTTAGGTCGGGTTTTTGCATTTTTTGGGCCGGTTTTGGGTTGGGTACTAGGGTTGGGTTGAGTCGGGTTGTGGGCTAACACCCTAAACCCGATCTAAACCGACCCAACCCAACTCGAAAAATTAAAAACAAAAAAAAAGAGGAAAAAAAGGACCTATTTTTTCTCATACTAATTCAACTAAACCTAGACTTTCAACATTTCCTCGCTTCCCCAAAAGAGGAGATGAAGAGAGAAGATATCGCTTTTACCTCTATAATTCTTCATTTGTCTGATCAAGTGTTCAGGAAAGTTGGCAAACTTGATAGTGCTAAGGCTTTGTGGGATAAGCTAGAAGAACCATACATGTCTAAGAGTCTACCTAATAAACTCTTCCTTTTAGAGAGGTT